GGATCAAATGGCTCAAAAAGGATAAAATTGTGAAGGTCGAAAATCTGCTTGGATGCTGCTTGAAGCCATATTTCGCGTCAAAAATTACTCAGACCTCTCGTAAAAAAATTTGGCGGGAATTGAATTATTGTAATATTACTGTAGTCCAGAAGCACCTAACTTATACCCCTATTTTGCAGCTCATCGTTGATGTTGAACGTAGCTCCCTTGACATGACCGGCGCCCAAAGCCAAGCATCATCGAGCGCCACCGAGAAGAGAATCCACCAATCTATCCTCTGCACGGCCCAGGCCCTAGCCGAAAAAGTAGATGAACTGAGAACCGCTGCTGTTTGCAAGGTAATTTACCGTACCTCTACCGTACCCGAATTGCAAGCTGAAATAATCTTTCTAGGGAGAAGCTCTTCCACACTGCGTTGAAGCCCACTGGGAAACAGTCCAGCCCCTAGCTGCATCGGCCTGTGAAGCTGCTGCCATTGCCAGAGACAGTCGTCAACAGGCTGAGCTTTTCGATAAATGTAGAACTGTTGTGGAAGCCGAGCTACAGATGATGTACGCATGTAGGGATGCAGCGGGTAACCCGAAGGTAAGCTAGATTGGAAAATTTTCGGAAAATTGAAAAAAATGTGTTCAGGCCGTTGAAGCTCACTCGAGAGTAGATGAAGCAGCTGCTATGTTAAAAGATGCCCTGGATGATATTAGGAGTACTGTAAGCGCTATCAGTAGCGAGCAGGGTAGGTCAAAAATCGTTGATCAGGTCTCAAAAATCAAAATTCAAATATCTCTTTAGGTGTCATTCAAGGAATGGTTGAGACCATCTCTCATTCCATTGCCGGTACCGATATGATGCATGTCGCAACTCAAGGAGCTTCGTTTGCGGATGCACAGACCAAGATTACCGCTTACCTTGAAGATATTCGGTAAGTTGAGGATCCTTAACCTCCGCCCCACTTCACTGCTCTTACCAAATTCCTGGATGTGGTTATTTTCAGAAGAACCGCCACCGATATGCCTTACGCTGAACCTCAATCTCTGGGTAATATGGCCCTTATCATGAGTGAGAAGTACCGCTTGCTAGCTGAAGAAGCGAGACAGGTAATATTCCTTTTTCAATCAATAAGTATCCAGTTCACTGAAAATGTTGTTCCAGGCCGTCGCTGTGCTCTCATCACCTACCTTAGCCCAAAAACTGAAGGTAGCAGTACAGAAACTTGGCACATCTTGCATCGATACTGTAAAAGTAGCTGGACAGCGTAGAGCGCACCCTCAAGATGAGGTACGGTAGCATTGGTTACGATAATTTGTAGATCTATTTGAATTTCCCCATTTCAGCGCACCCATCGCGAACTTACGGACAATTCAAGAATTGTGGTCGAAAGAGTGAATGAGGTCCTCGCATCCCTCCATGAAGGCTCCAAAGGAACTCAAGCTTGTATAAATGCTGCGAATACCGTATCCGGAATTATTGGAGACCTTGACACCACCATCCTCTTTGCTACTAGCGGAAGTTTGAATGTAGCTGGTGGAGAGCGTGATTTCAACGAGCACCGGTAAGCATACCGTAACCTTCTCGTCGTTTACGGTAACGGCAAATCTCTTCTTTTAGGGTGGCTATCATCAAAACAGCCAAGGCCCTAGTAGAAGACACCAAAGCGCTAGTAGCCGGAGCTGCCTCCAACCAAGAACAGCTAGCAGTAGCTGCTCAAAACGCTGTCAGGACCATTGTCAACCTATCTGATGCTGTCAAAAATGGCGCTGGAAGTCTGTCTCCGTCGAATTCCGAAGCTCAAGTGCTCGTGATCCATGCTGTTCGGGATGTGGCTGCTTCCCTATCGGCCCTGATCCAAGCTACCAAGAATGCTTCTGGAAGATCACTGCACGATCCGGCCATGGGACATCTAAAGGATGCTGCAAAGGTATTTTTATTGATTGATTTCAGGTGTTCCCGAGGCGAAAACAATTGTTTTAGACTATGGTTTCGAATGTTACATCGCTTCTGAAGATTGTGAAGACCGTTGAGGATAAGACACAACAAGGCACAAGAGCTTTGGAAGCTGCTATCGACGCTATTGGCATTGAAATCAAGGTTTGTTCGGTCTTCTTGCTTTTGTTTTCTAGATTTTTTACTCAATTTGTAAAACTACAACCAATCAAAAATCCGTAAAAAATATAATTTGAGAGTAATCCATGAGCGTTTGATCATTAAAATAACAAATTTCAACTTACTCCTTCCATTAAAAGAAATATGCCTTCAAAACAAGACAAGTGGTTTTGGCTCGCATCAATTTTTTGGGCAAAGAAAAGAGGCCTAATTACTTTTCTCTTGAAAGAAACACCTTCCACAGAGATTTTCCGGAAATTTCTGTCACGGTTAGAAAATTTTTTCAGGGTATGAAAAATAGAATTTTTTCGCACACAAAATGAGTTACGCATAATCTTATAGATTTGAACCATTTTTATCTCCCCCCCCCGCCGTTTCCTCCCCTAG